CATTAAAACTCTAGACAAAAATGCATTTGTTAATTAATTAGTAAATACAGCTCCTCAAATTGGTGTTCCTCACACAGTTTGATCAAGCCGTCCTCTTCACGCTCAACACAAATTCTTTAAAGAGGCTAGACATTTCATGGCGGCGTGGCCTTGAGGCTTTCATTTAAATTCCGTTTAAATTTTTTATGCTTTTTTTTTTTTGGCTCAAGACCGTATGTGTTATGATTTGCTTTGTTTGTACCAATGCTCATAGGAGCCTGAAGCACAACAGAAGCCATTAGGATAGAAAGCTGAACACAAATCCAATTAAACCAAGCCAGAGAGAGAAAACTATTGCTCAGTACAGCACTTCAGAGATTAAAATCTTACACAGTGTTAAATATTACAATTATAGAGTCAGGAAAGCATAAAAACAGATTCTATTACAGCAAACAAGAGCTGTAATTTTTTTGTCATCAAGTTAGAATGGTATAGCAGCAACATGATAAAAGGGGTGAAATTGTTCTGTCTGGGACGCTTTGTATCAATCTGCTACTCGGTGAATTCAATATTATATTATTATTACAATATTATAAAGGGCTAGAGTGGGTTCAGGTGATGGCATTGTATTAAGAGTATGTTGATGTAGCATTGCAGAACAGAAAATATACTGAAAATAATGAGTCCTAAGAGAGAGAGAGTGTGCCTGTTAACATAATTGTACATAAGCATACTTGTGATAAAAATGCAATGACTGTTGTCGTATAGATTTTTGTAAGGAGAAATTAATAGTACAATATAGCATAAGACCATGGTCTGGCTGTTAATACAGGTTGTATGATTTCCTCATTTCATCCATATCTCACCTCACCTTTATCTCAACAGCATGCATATTAAACTTCACTTATGACTTCTAACAAATCTGGAGCTTCATTTATTAAATGTGTGTAAACATATTTTTGTGCGTAAACTGTGCGTACATACGTTTCTATGCATCGAATAGGATTTATCAAGTTTTGCTTATGCGTGAGAAGGTGTATTTCCGCACACTCCTGACCATGCGTATGCAAAAACCCCTAGTGGTAGAAATGTGTAATAGCAGGTAAACTGCTGTTACACTAAACTATGCAGGGCTTCTGTATCATGTGCTGTCTATCATATCCGCATAACTGAGTGAGTAATTACTGATTTCAGTGCTTACAAGACGGACTGTAAAGTAAAATCGCATAAAAGGAACATTTAAAGAGCGATGGGGATTATGCCTAGTTTGAAGATTGTGTTTGACTTGTTTGACTCATGCAGCTTTGCAGAGGGAATGTGGTTTTAGCACCACTGGAAGCTCTGTGCTGAGACTGAGGAGTGGATCATCAGTCGATTTCGTTTGCCCAGTGCGGTTT